ATTCTAAGATCTGATTTACATTTCTAATTAAAGTTGTTTTTGATCATACGTATAGATAATTATATAAAAATTCCAAAATTCTAAAATTTCAAATACATACAAAAACAATCATATGTAAATTTTAAATTTGTGAATATTAAAATTTTATATTTTAATTACATATATTCACCCTGCGCAAGGCGCAGGTCTTATCCTAGTAATATATTAAAGGTTAGAGCCAATCTAGTAATCACCAATTGATTTAAAATTGGAGGCCCGTAATAAACCCGATTCTAGCAATGAATGATGCAATAAATCGGCCATATGAAAAAAACAAAATTTCAGTTAGTGTATATATGAATCAGAAAAACATGGATATGGAGTTACACATTTTCTGAAATATCGCTTAGTAAAACTTGCGCATCCTCTTTTATGATTTCTGTTTCTTGGTTTCCTATAAGTGACATCTCAAGTACTCTATCCCTGGCCTTCGTTGCCTAATCGAGATAATATTCAAAATTATAAAAAAAATGATGAAGATGAGCAACTAGAGAAGGAAAGGTCTACATACCTCTTGCTCCCAATTGGTGAAAAAAGTGACAAGGGCAAGAACCATCGTTTGAAAACAGCTGCCTATCAGTATACCAATCCAAAGTCCTCTCCCTCTCAACTTCGCAACAAAACATAATACTGAACCAACCGGTATACCAACCACATAATATGATCCTATGCTTGCATATCCTGCTATATGCTGCCACCCTACTCCTCTCGCAATCCCTAAGGATATTAAGAGTTGCAGCGTACGTAGAACATATAAATTTAGTTTCTTGGCTCTCAAGTAAATTTAGTTTCTACTACATGTGATTTTCTTTTTCCACTTTGGTATGACTTTCTTACCTGAGAGCACGGCAGTAAAGCTGTTGACAAAAATTGATAGGCAGAGAATCAATGTAATTTTTGTTGCATAGTGAGCGACTTCTTCCTCATTGCTAAAGATATACGCCCAAGATTTTCGATAGCTGTGAAGAGTGATGCTCACAAAAGAAGCATCGAAAGCGCAAAGGTAAAGTGCAGCATTAGCCGCTGCTCGAGCTGCCTTTGGGTTTCCAGCTCCTAGCTCGTTTGATACATGTGTGCTATATAAGCAAGAACAATGATAAATTGAAGAACATTTTACAAAGAATTATATTCTTATGAACAATTGGTAATGTTACTATACCTTGCGGCTGCACCTATTGCATCCACTAAAACGTAATGCAGTGCTGAAGTTGTGAGGCTGCTCAAGGAAGACATTAATTAGTATCTCTCCTTATTTTTGATGTGAATCTCCTAACATGGTCCTTTAAGACAATACATCTTTTCCTCCATTTAATCTTGGATTGAATCTCATTTTCTTGGATCATTTATGTCAGTGACATATGAATTAAATGTATAATATTTACAAAGGGATATATGCACATACCATATGGACATCACCGATGTTTCGAGTTTGGAGTTTGGTAAGAGTCCAGACAATAGTAACAGAAGCTCAAAGGACCACCATTCCAGGCTTTACTCACACCCCAAAAGAGAATAGATTTGAGCATCAGTTGAAGATCAAAATCAAAAAACAGAGAAACTTAGTTACCAAATCATCATAGCAGATGGAATCCCCAGAGAGATGAACTGCTTCATGCTTGAGAAGATTTCTTGCGCCTGAAGATTCCTAGTTGCGCTATATAGAGCAGAATCTCTCATTAAAACCCAAAGCAAAACTACGTTGAACCAAAGCGAAAAACCGATGGACAAAGCGGCGCCGACAATTCCAAATCTAAGTTTGTAGACAAGAAGCCAACAAAAGGGAATGTGAAAACAGAGAGCTCCAAAAGAGCTCAAGAAGAGAGGAAGAACCAATCCTTGTGACTGGAAATAGTGAGTCATAGGTTGGAGAAGAGCGAATCCAAACAAAGCCGGTATGAGCCAGATGGAGTATCTACAAGCTAACTCAGAGATGAGAGGATCTTGGTGGAAAAGCTCCAAGAGTTTGTCCATGTAAACCCAAAGAAGAGAGATTGGGAAACAAAGCAAGACAAGACATATCATTGAGCTGTAAGTGTATGAACCAATCTTTCTGTATTGCTCTGCTCCAAAAGCTTGACCACACAATGTCTCTAACGCACCTGAAAACCCAACCTAGTGATTGAAGTCAAGTAATGGTGTATCTGAGATTTTGAGGGCTATAAACATTTCTTAAAAACTTTAATAAAAAAATGTTTCATAATTTAGGAGTTTATGTTTATATAAAAACCTTCGAAAATTCTTGGGGCTAAGACCAATGTTTCTGTGGACTATGTCAATTTAAATGAGAGAGATCTTACGAGGAGGCTGAAGCCAGTGACGTTGGTAAGAGAAGTGGCAATAGCAACGCTGGAGAGAGAGAGCTCGTCCAAGTGGCCAGCCATAACCATGGAGATAACTTGAAGGAGATACTGAGAGACAGAAACTGCCACCATTGGAGCAGCCATGTAGCTCACTTTCTTCATCATCCCTGCAGATTTCTCATTTTTGTAATCTTCTTCTTCTTTTTCTCTCCGCGCCAAGGAGAAACCACTTTCCATCGTCCGAGCAGACTTTTTCTTTGATAATGGTTACAGAAAAAGTCAATACAAACTGATGGATCGAATAATCAGTAGAGAAATACAGAACAAGTCATGGAACGTTACAAACAAATTAAAAAAAAAAAAAGACCTGAATATAATACTTAGCTGAATTTAGATATTGTCAGACAGTTAATATAAACGTTGACTTATTAAAATATAAAGTCTTCTTTCTACTCGCCATTATAATTTAACACAAATACCGTAGGGAATGTTGGAAAAAAAAATGAGGATCTTAAAATACCAGCTTTTTTTATTCAGAGATGTTTCTTGATTGTCAAGCAACTTAAGGTTTATCAGTTATCATCTATCTATCCTTGAAGATCTGCAAAACCTAGTTAGAAGCAATGATCACTCTATCAGATTATTTGTTTGTGACTGGACTTGCTTTTACGTCTAAATTTTCAAAATATCAAGGTTTTTTCAAGAAAAGCCACCACCTTTAATATTTTTGGTGCAACCTTATCGTAAACAAGTTAGATGTTCACTGATTCAAAAAACAACGTAACAAAGACGAATATTTGAAGATCATTGATTCAAGAGAAAACACATAAGTTTTAAGAGAGAAAGCTATGCTTGTAAAAGCTTGTGAAAGTAAAAATGTAAAAGCTCTGAATAATTCAATAATCAATATGTAGGAACGCAATGTTTACAATGGGGAAAACCGAATTCTTCAAGCATTTTCATATATAAATTGATAAATATATTAAACTTTTGACTTATAAGCTATCTTGGACCTTCAGACCTAGGCATTCCAATTGGGTTGATTGTGTAGCAAGAAAAGTATATTTTCTAGGAAAAGAAAAGTTTTTGATCTTGGAAGTTCAGAGTTATACTTATACTATAGATTTTACCGTACGTATATTCCAATGCTCATCATATTAGAGAGCATTATTCTTCTAAATGTCCACATATATCAAAACAACTATATATAGAGAAATGTCTTTGATTCGTATCAAATATGGTCCCATACTTACAGAGCTCAAGTATAACATTTTATAACTCGGGTAAACAGGGCGAGAACAACAACCCTGGTGACGATATGCATGGTGCCACATGTATTCCTGCACCAGCTCCGATGGAGACAAGTCAAGTCAATGCGTTGGCTAAGAGTGAGACGTTACCTTGCGTTGAACCAAACAGACATATGGTGAGGCAGTTTCACGTTAAAAGTTGACAGTCAGACAGAGAAACTGGTCAACTCACTTTCATACATTTTCCAATGATCATTGAGTCTAACATAATGAAAGAGACGTTAAGCCTGAGCAGAGGTGCATGGTTGACACCTAATCAAGCCTTCAATGCACACATAAAACAGAGAACATGTGCAGAATACGCTGGTTTCAAATTTGCTATATAAATTTGTTGTCTAATATGTTTATTGTCCTAGATTCTAGTTCACCATTTAATCTCTTGTTTGTATGCATCATTTAAACAAATGCAAATGGGGTTACACATTTTCCGAAATATCGCTAAGTAAAACTTGCTCATCCTCTTGTATGATTTCTGTTTCTTGGTTTCCTATTGGTGTCATCTCCAATACTCTATCTCTCGCCTTCGTTGCCTGGAGCCCAATGGAGATAAAATTCAAAATTTCAATTATAAGAAAATGATGAAGATAAGTAACTAGAGAAGGAAAGGTGAATACAAACCTCTTGCTCCCAATTGGTGAAAAATGTGACAAAAGCAAGAACCATCGTTTGGAAAAAGCAGCCTATCAAAATACCAATCCAAAGTCCTCTCCCTCTCAATTTCGCAACAAAACATAAGACTGAACCAACCGGTATACCAACTAGATAATATGATCCTATGCTTGCATATCCTGCTATACTTTGCCACCCTACTCCTCTAGCAATCCCTATGGATATGATGATGTTCGCAAATAACATTTTAGTTTCTTGGCTTTCAAGTAAAATCACAAAAGCTCTCATCTCTAGATATTACATTTGATATGACTTGCTTACCTGAGAGCACGGAGGTAAAGCTGCAGACAAAAAGTGATAGGCAGAGAATCGGTGTGATTTTTGTTGCATATTGAGCGACTTCTTCCTCATTGCTAAAGATATACGCCCAAGTTTTTCGATAGATGTAAAGAGTGATGCTTACTAATGAAGCATCAAAAGCACCAAGGTAAAGTGCAGCATTTGCAGCTGCTCGAGCTATCTTTGGTTTTCCAGCTCCTAGCTCGTTTGAGACATGTGTGCTACATAAGCAAGAACAATGATTAATTAAAGAACATTTTACAAAGAATTATATTCTTATGAACGATTGGTAATGTTACTATACCTTGCGGCTGCACCTATTGCATCCACGAAAACATAATGTAGAAGTGAAGTTGTGAGGCTGCTCAAGGAAGACATAAAGAACGAAAGTTGCACATATTAGTTACATATTAAAACAATGGTCGTCTGTATATCTATATTTTTTAGGCCGTAATCTCTCAGGTCTGAAACCACATCATCTAATTTTTTTTTGAATAATCTGGTGTATCCTGATTTCACCGAAGTGGATCCAGGCTTGCGGCGAATGTTGTACTCAGATGTTAAATTTTGCCCCACTAGCCAGCGGAATTCGAACCTGGATCCGTATTGGGGCCAAAATTCCCTCAAGACCATTGGGCCATCCTTTGGTTGTCATCATGTAATATTAGTTCCATGGCAGCGATTACTTGAACTCTAGACCTCTGATACAATAGTCATGCTCCTTTCTAGTTGAGCCAATGACCTCTGGTCATCTATATAATATTGTACAAAAGGATATATGTATTTACCATATGGACATCACCGATGTTTCGAGTTTTGAGTTGGGTAAGAGTCCAGACAATAGTAACAAGAGCTCAAATGACCACCACTCCAAGCTTTACTTGCACATCAAAAAAGATAAAAAGATTTAAGCATCCGTTGAAGATCAGAATCAAGAAACAGAAAAAAAATAGTTACCAAGTCATCATTGCAGTGGGAATTGCAAGAGAAATGAACTGCTTCATGCTCGAGAAGATTTCTTGCGTTGGAAGATTCCTAGTATCGCGATACAGAGCAGAGTTTCTCATAAACCCCCAGAGAAAAGCTACGTTTAACCAAAGCGAAAAGCCTATGGACAAAGCGGCGCCGACAATTCCAAATCTAAGTTTATAGACAAGAAGCCAACAAAAGAGAATGTGAAAACAGAGAGTTCCAAAAGAGCTCCAGAAGAGAGGAAGAACCAATCCTTGTGACTGGAAATAGCGAGTCATAGGTTGAAGAAGAGCGCATCCAAATAAAGCCGGTATGAGCCAGATGGAGTATCTACAAGCTAACTCAGAGATGAGAGGATCTTGGTGGAAAAGCTCCAACACTTTGTCCATGTAAACCCAAAGAAGAGAGACTGGGAAACAAATCAAGACAAGACATATCATCGAGCTGTAAGTGTATGAGCCAATCTTTCTGTATTGCTCTGCTCCAAAAGCTTGACCACATAATGTCTCTAACGCACCTGAAAACCCAACCTAAAGATCAAAGTCAAGTAAGGCCGGATATAAGATTTTAAGAGCAATAAAACATTATTTAAAAATCTTATTAAAAATTATGTTTATAATTTTGGGTAATATGCCTATATAAAAAACAAACATTTTAGGGACCAAAGCCAATGTTTCTTTGGACTATGTCCAGATCCGGCCCTAAAGTCAAGAGAGAGAGAGATGCAGTAACACAGAGAGGGATATCTTACAAGGAAGCTGAAGCCAGTGACGTTGGTAAGAGAAGTGGCAATAGCGACGCTGGAGAGAGAGAGCTCGTCCAAGTGACCAGCCATAACCATGGAGATAACTTGAAGGAGATACTGAGAAATATAAACTGCCACCATTGGAGCAGCCATGTAGCTCACTTTCTTCATCATCCCTGTAGCTTTCTCATTTTTGTAATCTTCTTCTTCTTCTTCTCTCCGCGCCAAGGAGAAACCGCTTTCCATCGTCCAAGCAAACCTTTTTTTGTTGATGATGGTTACAGAGTCAAATACAAATAATCAGACTCAGGTTGGTTCCGGGCTCAGGGGATTAGTAGGTCCACCGCCCCCTATCACCTCCTGATTAATCAAAAAGAAAAAAAAATACAAATACTCAGTAGAGAAATACAGAACTGGTCACGGAACATGCAAAACAAATTAAACAAAAAACCCAAGTGGTCTGAATAATGAATAACGCTTAGTAGAATCTCAGATATTGTCGGGATACAAACGTTGTCTTCTTTCCATTCACCATTATACTAACACAATTGAAATGTTTTTTTTTTTTAAAGAACACATTTGAAAAAATCCGAGGATCTTAAAATTCCAGATTTTTTGGTCAGAGATCTTACTTGATTGTCAAACAACTTAAGTTTTTTTAGCCTTGACTACCTGAAAAAACTTGGTCAGAAACAAAGCTCACTATAGGATTTTGTGGGCCTCTTCGCATAGTTTTGCTAGATTTTCTTTGATGGGAGAAAGGAGGAGACTATTTATCATGAAGAGGAAGAGTTTTAACCTAATGGGTTATAGTATTAACGGGCTTTTCCTAAACGGGAAAACGCAATTTTATACCATAAACGTGTAAGAAGGTGACACTTTAACAATGGTCCTAAAAACACAGTTCGAACCATCAAACTAATTATATTAACACATTAAACTTTGAAATTAACTTACTTCTTTATCACGTAAAAATGTGACCAATATTGTTCATCTGTGACCGCTATAACGCTATTGTTCATCCGTGTTAAAAAATATGTTATCTGTCAATTATATGACCAATATTGTTCATCTTATCACATCACTTTCATTCTTTTCGCACATATCATCATCTCATTTAGGTCTTAACTGGATTTGGTTTAATATTTTTGGAGACCCAATTTAAACATAAATTTATATAATGTTACTGAATAAAACCAAATTGAAAGCATTTGTTTTAAGTGTTTTTTTATATATTGAGTACATCTACAACACTTGAAAGTTGAAACCTTGAATAAGTATTGAATCCTATAATCATTTGAATAAAATATAGCAACTAATATCACTATAAATTGCTCTGCGCCGAAAAAACTGAGTAACTGTTTCTCTTTCTTTTTGCTTTTTGGTTCTTTCTGATAAGTTTTGACTGGTAACTAATTTGCAGAAAAAAGGCATTACAAAACTCGAATGCTAGCTAGACTTACTGCAAAATCCAATCAAAGCCATTGACGATTGTATATACGACCACAAATGAAGACAGACACTCAGGTATTATCCCTCAGGACCCATCACTCTCCTCATTTTTCCAGGAGGTGATAGCACGGCAGGGCTGTTTCCGTGTTGGTTGTTTTGCTCAGAGGCCTTTGGTTCAAGGGCGTCTCCTTTCGAAGCCGGAATCTGAAGCTTCCCTGGCTCAGTTGGTGATGGAGAAGACGAGAAATACCTGACCAAATAAAAATGATGATTATATCAGAGATGAAATTGATATTATTGTCGTGTAAGTTTTTTTTAAAAGACAATTATGTAACCTGTGGTCCAAAGCTTGCTGTATGGTGATCCGTTGGCGTGGGTCGTAGATGAACATTTTGGCTAGAAGATCCAAAGCGTCATCGCTTGCCATAGGGAAAATGGTACGTAGTGGTGGAGCTGGTGTGTAGGAGAACTCCATGTACTCTGGGAGATAGATCATGTCAGACCATTGGGATTGTGTTGGAGTTCCAAAAGCTTGAAAGATTTTTCCGAGTTGATCTATCTCAGTAGAACCCTAAAGAAAGTAAAGCATTGAAGTATTCAAGAGCAAAGATCATTTAAGGCATAAAGTGCAAAAAGTATAGAACATTACGGGTAGAAACGGTCTACGAAGTAAGAGCTCAGCAAAGATACAGCCTGCAGCCCAGACATCAACTCCTGCTGCATACTGTCTACTCCCAAACAGCAACTCAGGGGCTCTGTACCACGTAGCAAATACCTGTTTCAATAAGCTCATTCTTTTATTTACGAGTTTTTTACTGTGAACAAGCAGATTCAAAACCAAATGATATATCTACATAACCAATCAATCTTAGCATCTTAATCAACATGTCCATAAGCCAGAAAAGGGTAATCTAGTGACTGGTAACCACCAATCTTTCACCTCACCGAAACCGAAAAAAAAAATAAGTATACAGGAACCGGAATTAAAAACATATTATGTCTTCTCAATGCTCTATAGCAAGTATCCGTACTTTCCAAAAAAGCTTTCATCAAATCTTCACGAGGTGACAACATACTAATTACAAATGCTAGATAAATAATCTAATCTAGCTGCCAGCTCAAACCAATACGATCCAAGTCTACAATATCTTCAAGAATATAAAATGTCAATACGTCTGAAAATAACAAAACAGTATCTGGGACTTGAACAACCAATCTTTCATCTCACCAAAACTGAACGACATAGGTATATGCAATAACGGGAATCAAATACTCATCATGTCTGCTCAACACTCTGAATCAAATCTTCATTTACATCAGAACATTCCAACAGATCATCACACGGTGCCAAAATATAAACTACTCAAATTTTAGACTAATCAAGCTCCCAATTCAAACACACAAAAAACACCGAGCTGATGAGTAAACAAAAAAAACCTGATGAGTAAACCTCCGATTCGGACTCCCAAACACTCTCGCCAACCCAAAATCAGCCAACTTCAACAAACCATTCTCTCCAATCAACAGATTATTAGGCTTCATATCCCTAAAACAATGTCCAAAACAAAAATCAACAACTCACTGACAAGAAAGAAATCAAAGAACTGTTTTAGGTTTTACCTATGCAGAACCCATTTCTTGTGACAATAAGCTAAACCTTTAAGAGTCATCAACATATAAGACTTGATATCACCAGGAGAAAGGAAGATGTTACGGTCACGAATCACAGCTTCTAAATCAGTTTGCATATACTCGAAGACGAGATGCAAGCTTCCGTCGTGTGGAAACGCGTCGATGAGCTCGACGATGTGTGGATGGTTCAGCTCTTTTAAGAGTTTGATCTCCCTAAGGGCCGTGAAATTGACGCCTTCTTTTTGGTTTCCTAACCTAATCTTCTTCACTGCTACTGTCTTACCTGTCTATATGAGAAAAAAAAATTGAAGAGATTAGGAATTGAATTTGGGGGGAAGGGTTTTGAATTTGATTGATTGAGTGTTACCTTGGTGTCGGTGGCTTTGTAAACGACACCGTATGTTCCTTCTCCGAGGACTTGGCGTCTTAGGTATCGATCTACGGGTTGGTTTCCGCCGGATTTCGACATCGGCTTTGTGTTTTTTTCTCTGGTTTAGTACTGTTGATGAAGGGGGAAGACGAGGGCTAGTTAAGTAAACACTTTGATTCGTTGGTTTTAATTTACAGTTTGATCCTTATGTTTTAGTACTTTATTAAACATATCTCATGTTTCTGATACTATCAGACACAACCCTACGACATTTGATTTGGAATTTGGAACGGACCCATAAAATTGGCTCATGTTACACCATCGTACATAACATAACAAACACATTTTGAATGTTCAATACACTCAACGTTATTTTGATTTGGAACGTATTGTTTTGCTTTCGATTAAACCTTTGCCCAAAACACATTCAAACATGTAAGGAACCACTTCCCTAGACAAGACAAAACTTCCAGATAATGTTTGGTGATTGATTTAACAAAATGAAAAGATCTTGGAGATGACAGCTTTTTCATCCAGTTTTTTCTTTCAACTAGACCTTGGCTTAAGGAAGAATCAGGATTCATGGGGTTTTGGTGGCTCATCAGGCAAAACTTGAGTTTCAGCACTCTTGTCATCAGGTTGTTGTTGTTCATCAGATTGTTCAGTAGGAGGAGGAGGATCTGCAGCAGTAGCAGGCTGCTCGTCTTCTGGATGAAAATTGATAGGGAATTTAGTGACTCTAGGTTTGTCGGAGAGTATATTCCTCTGGACTTTATCGAGCAAAACCTTAGTTGGAGGCTCTTCCCTGAGTTGCTCATCTTCATAGTCATTGTTAACGTAATATCCAACTCTCAAGAATTCTTGACCCATGTACGAACATGTCAACAACAGCACAGTGACACCGATTATATCTTCCTCCCGGATCTTCGATGGATCTGGAGGATCAGCCTGTAAAGTAAAGTTAGATCAAGACTATGCTGCTATTGAAGTGAAATAAATGAATATGTGATTTACCTGCAAGACAAAGCGGTAGTTGCCAACATTAACAGGCCCCACAAACACACTCTCAAGAGTTTGATCATAAGTCTCATCTTCTGCTGAGCCTACGTAGACAAGTTTCCATTCCAAATCTGTACCAACACAAAAGCTTGGGACTAAGTGGACAGAATCGTTTTTCTTTATATCGCACTTGCTGACAAGAAGATGATTAAAACTATGTCAAAGTAGATGGCTAGCTTCTAAGAAGTTATTGCAGAAATATATCTTATCAAGTTATTTAGTATTTTCCAGGCAAATCCAAGATCCATGAAGGCTAAAAAAAAACTAATGTATCTTATAAATATTTTAATCAAGAGCTTCTGCATAGATCCAATTCAACTAATAAGACAAGTAGACAGGAGAACCACCATCCTAGAGCATCTAATCAATCAAAGTAGTGGAAAAAAAATAATCTGAGATATCATACATACACAGTAGGGACAATCACAAAAAACAGTATCCAAGAAATTCGAAACCTGCGATTCGCTAATTAGCATCAAACCAAATAGAGATCATGACTATGATATAAAGCAATGGATAACAAAAAAACATCAATCATCAGCACCAAGGAAACAAGGTGAAGCTGAAGGTCAAACACAGCTCTCTACAAGCTTAAGGTCAGTACCAACTCCAATAGGCAGAGCAAATCATTAATCAGGATGAATAACGTAAGAGAAAGGGGCAAGGGGGAGGAAGTGGAGGATACCGTCTTGGAGAGAAGTCAAGCACTCGTACGAAATCTCAAACTGAAAAGGGCTAACAAAAGGCGCTGGATTATCCAATACGCTGACGTTTGTGATGTTGATGGCACTCATTATCCTCAAAAATCGGGAAAACCTTATTGGAAGAACAACCCTAGATTCCAATCAAAACTTCATTCAAACTCTCCAGAAACTCTTGGATGCTGCAGTTCCTATTTGGTGATCTTTCGCGAATCGGAAGAAGAGCGTACAGAGAAGGGAGGAGAGTTTGGGGGTTTTTGTATGGAATCGATCAACGAGAAACCTCAAGAGGTGGTGGCCGAGTTGATTCGATTTTTGATTAAGGATATGAATTCAGTTCTTTGTAAGTGTGTTCTTCTTATAACCGGTTGCCGTAGAGGAGCTGACCGGCTATCACCGGTTATCTGAATTGGCGGGAGGTGTGTACTACGGCGGAGGGAAAATGAAAACCAAAAGAAGAATTGAAACTCCCTAACGTTGTTTCAAAGTGATTACCGCCTAATTTTCGAGACCTAGTTATCAAATTAATCAGTTACTACATAGCTACACTGTGTAGCTAATTAAAGTTAATAAAAGAAACTTTAGATATCAAAATGTCTTTAATTTTAGTTAAAAGATTAATATTCTTGTTTATCACTTGTATACTCGTTATATAGTTTGAGATTTGAGTTTTTGATTTTCTAATGCTTCATTCAGGTATATATTCAAGGTCAACATATTTAGATAGTACTTACATCTCATATCCGGATTTCTCGATAACATAATATGGGATCCGTGTTTTATTTTCAAGTGAAAGAGACCTAAAACAAGGTCAGCAGGCAGCAGCAGCGACTCTGACATAAAGATCTTGACCATCACCATCATAACTCCGCATATCCTCAAGCTCTCCTGTCCAAATCACACAACCCGTCCCACCATTTCGAACATCCGCATTTGCAAACGCGGTACATTTACAATCGCCAAGGCATCTCTTCTTACATTCGTCCAAACCAATACTTTTGTCGATAATAGCCTTCGTAGTTTCTGGTAACTTCAAATTCTTCATCATGGTAAAACCATCTCCACTGCAACTCAGCCGCGTCCTCCTTTTACACCCACTCGACGCGTCTCTCAGATCCCACTGCTGCCGGTTCTTTTGATCGAACCCTTGGATACAGTTACAAACCGGTGATGTGTTTACGTCACAGTAAGCGTAAGGCCCACACATCTTATACACATCGCACTGTGAGTCCATTGGAGAAGACCAGAACAAGTTCCATATCCCTATTGAGGGAGTCCACGTCCATCGCTCCAAAAACCCTTCGGAACTTACTATCACTCTCGAGTAGATGCTGTTGTTGGTCATTCGGAATGTATAAGCGACTTCTTCATTATTCTGTGTAAAATTGTAAACCATGTAACTCAGCTTTTGGTCCTCTGGTATGCCACTAAACCGGATTCCGTTCCATGGACCACTCCTATGCACTCGAAAGATCCCACTCGATAGATAAAACTCAGGCATTCCCCTATTAGTGTCTAGTTTGTACGAGTAATCCCCGCTTGAGGGATCATCTGAACTTCTCCATGATGTAAGGAACCTGTTAATCCCTGTTTTGAGGTTGTAACCTAGTTTCATCTCTGGAAGCAAAGTATCTGTTGGGTAATCGAAACTTTGCCACAAGTATCCACTTGCGTCTTTGTTATTGAAGTCTCGCATCACGAAGTTTCCGTTGGCGAGAAGCTCTGCCATCACCGTTGATGATCTCTCATTTCCTCTAGTTAGATTCGTCGACCAAACAGATTTATTACAGTGATCGAGAAGGACAAGGTTCATGTTGGAGATTTTGAGGGTTCCTATGGAACTGGAGAGTGGGTTATCTCTGTTGGCGACCCATACATAGGTTCTGTTGGACACTTTCTTGTACCATATCCCGAGATACCAACGAGAATTGGTTTTGAAGAAACCGAGCTCGAAGACATTACCGGGAGATACAAGTGTTCTGTTGCTTGAGATTGTAAGAGATTCTTTAGAGGACAAAGTGTTGATATAGGTCGAAGAGGCAGGACGAAATAGAACCAAGACGAAGAAGACAAGGAAACAAGAGAAGCTGTAAGAATTATCGTAGTTTTTTCTAACGCCTTTCATTCTCTCCCACCTTTTGTTTCTCTACTTCCCCCCTCTTCTTGTATATTTATAATCTTTTTTTCACGTATCGATTTTAAACGGCTATCACGAACCTAGCAGACAAGGAAAATGTGGTGTTACATGTTCGATGACTTTTTCACCCCATCGATTAGTTCATTTCCACAAACTTGTATCATCTGTCTACTACTTTTATTTCTACACGTGTTTAATTTCTCACGCTGGCTGCCAACATAACATATGGTGTCCAGCAAGTATTGTTTTTGCATGTGCACCGCACCCTTCAGATACTTTGTCAAGTCTGTTAGAAATTTTTTGTACTTTTTGTTCGAATTAATTAGCTTAAAATCGTCGGACTAAAGAGGAGAGAAAACCTACTAGAATGTTTAGTTTCGTTCTTTTTACAAAAAGAAAAAGAGAGGGTTAAATCTGGTGTTACTTAAATTGGTTAACTGATTTGAATCAGACGTAGTGATATCAGATAGGCATATAACAGTTAACATGCATACATAGATTATATATACACATAATATTTACATAGTTTAAGATCGAATTTTGTACAGACAAGTTCACCTACCGATTAAAAACCAACACCAACTACACAAAATATTATCTTTGGCTTAGGTGAACTTCCTAAAAAAACAAAAGTTAAAGTAGCTGATGCGATTGAACACACGTTAGTGTTGAGAATTGATGTTCATTTTTCTGGTTTGAGCATGAAACATCTCTGCTATATCTGCAGCCGTGCTGCATTCCTCCGGATTCCTATCCGCCTTTTTACAGATAAATCTCGGAAACCTAACAGAGATGCCTCGTGATGGATGGACCAGACCCAAAGCCGCACAGTGAACAGGTGAGACGGTTAGATCCGCACCTCTGATTTCCCAAACAATCTCTGCGGGAAACCACATGTCTGGTGTCTCCCCTGTTCTGTAGTATGGCGGCTTTTTCGCAAGGATCTTATCCTCGGAGTAGAATTCTTTCATCTGCATGAAAAGCAAATAATATATAGATATATGATCATAGATACTTTGCAAGACCGAATTACAAATGGTTGTTATTGGTTTCAGCTTCTATAAATCTAATAAAATCTAAACCCTTGACTAACCAAACCATAAACTGGAATGCGTACACTTAGCCACAATGTTAAAATGATACTGAAGATGGATTGGTGGAGAAGTGTGAAAGTGTTGTTGAGCTTTTATTTACCTCGATGTAAAAGGCATCAGAAAACCCGGACATGACACGGCAGACACTCTGGAATTCCTCAGTCTCAGGGTTGTAGCAGGCCATGAGGAATGGACTATACCTACACATACAAAAGAGCAATATGCAAGGCCTATTCACACATTTTATACTTTCAAGAAAAAGAGAAGGTTAAGAAATATGTTTCTACTACCAGCCCGCTTTTCTCCCGTTGCCATGCCAAGCGCCTATAGGAACTAAATCCAATGTGTCACCTAATCCATCTACATAATCTCGCTTCACCTGAATCAGAAAATTTAGCACCAATTAGTTCATTTCTGGCACATTTATCTTTGATCAGATAATTTACAGGACGAGACCTTGAGCCATGAATCAGAACGCTTTGTGGGGCAGTATCCGGCATCAACATCTAAAGACTTAACCATGATTCCTTCACAAGATGACTGAAATGCTTCTTCTAGAAACGCATTTATTCTACACAAAGTGTCTTGGTTATTCAGTGACGCTTCTTCTGCTCCCACCTATTAAACAATGTAGAGTTCAAGGAATATACCAACGCACTGCTTTACTATGTTATCTGGCTTATAAGCCATATGCTACTGTAGCACTTACAGTGATTTCCTTAGCATACTCAAGAAAACCTGGCCTAGTCTCAGGGAAGACCTCCTTTAGACCTACAAATTGGGAATATATGAAACTGGGGAAGTACATGAACGCATCTGAGTTAAGGAAAAGGGAGAGGGAGGTAAGGTTTACGTTTTCGTCTCTCATAGAGGGGAAGAGCCAACAGCCTGCATTGTTAACTCCAGAAATTACGAATCAACATATTTACTAGGAGAAATGCAGAGATAAAAAAGGTATTGAGTAAAGGACACATACTGTTCGCCGTTGAAGAACATAATATCAAATACAAAGATGCAGACTTCAACCTGCAGACAGCCATTAGAAAAAGCATAAGAAGAAAATCTTCAGAAACTAAAAAGAAAGAAAGAAGACTCAAATGTTTATCTCTAAAGAGTACACAAGGAAGAAAAGGGGAAAAAAACAAGAGAAAAGCGTCAATCATACTCGAAAAAGAACAGCATCCTCTATTTCACTCAGCTTTATTTGAAAACTAGATTAGTAGAGATTAGCATGTATTCAATAGGGAAAAGATATTAAGTGAGTAACGTTCCCATGTCCAAGCAATTTAAAAAAGAACAACATTGTATACAATACCTTAATACTTTTTGTAGTAACCAAAGCATCTTTGCTCCCTCTCTCTCTTGTTGATAACTCTTGGAATGACATGAGTTTGTTTCCATTTTTTCTATCAGTTGCAACAACCTGAATTCATAAAACGGCATTACATTATGTAATACCAAGAGAACTGACGATAAACAAGTACTGTTTTATTTTGCAAACCGGCAAAGGGTCTTTGCCTCGTTTGAAGTGAATAGTATGAAAAGTTCTCCTACCTCTGCGTCCAACATGAATGTCTCAACAGTAGGGCAAGAAAACTGTTTTATAACGTCCACCAGATCAGGAAATTTGGAAGTAGTTTCATCCCCATTTCGAGAGAAAATCCGAACAGTACCATCAAGTAACAAATGGATCTGGGCGCGCTGGCCATCATACCTGAAAGTTAAATTTGGACGTATTTCAGGAAACATATAAGACTGACGTAAATCAACAGAGTGCAAACCAAAGATTCATGGGTTGAATTCAAACAAACAGACATTCCATTATAATCAGAAACTCATCAGTCATCAGTTCGAGTAATTTAACAAACGTTCTTGAGAAAAACTAACTTGTATTCACATGTAAAAGCCTTGTCTTGGAAAAGCTTGATAAAATCTTGAACCCCGTTAGAAATTCTGAAATGAAGAAACAGCACATTAATTTAAGGCATGAAAACAAATGTATAACAAAGATTTGTACAATTACTTTGCAAGCATGGGTTTTATAGGTATCCCTGGGATCATTGAGAGACTTGATGTTGAAAACTCAATGTCTTTTTGCATGAGAGAAGGAACAACCACGTCCTGTTAAAAACAACTAATATATTGAAACTGTTGTCTTGTCTTTATTTGAAAAATCTGGTAAGTATACTGAGTAAGAAAGATAACAAATCTTTTGAAGGGTGCAAAAAATTTATAGATTCTTGGCTTTTTCACTAATTCTTGCTTAATTATATCCTAAATTACTAATCACATTTTAGTGTAATACAAATAAGTTAAAGAAATAAGTTATTTCGCGTGAAAATTGGCAAATCGAGTCAGAGGCAAAGGTTAACACTTGGAGCTCACCAGAGAAGGAAGTATATTGTACGCCTCAACTACTGCAGCAGAAACACCCTGAAATATTGAAATTGCCTCTTAACAAGACGAGCGTTTAAAATCTTTACATATAAATTTTGAACACACTTGAATTGATAATGCCAAGAAAACACTTTTATGAACTAAGAAGAGAATTAACGCTACCTCGAGTTTCTCTTTGAAACAATTTTCTGATGGTTCTTTGTTATGGCAATTCCAGAAAGAATTCATAACAATTGCTCGCCCTAATGCAGGTAGAACGGTTCTCAACATAGCGCCAATCCTTAAATTACGGGCCTGAGGAGGGGTAAAGATGCTTAAACATGGAAGCTGAACAAGATATGGGAAGAATAATTTTGAGAAATCTTACCAATGTTCTAACTAGAAATTTGATCTCCTTCTCTCTACAAGAGCGCATTAGCTTCACGATAAGGTTTTTCTTTTGCTTAGTACTTCCAGTACCTGACTGCACACTGAGGAAAACTATTAAGAGTTTGCTGGAATGACCTTGCTGCGTTACAAAATAGAAATTATTAGAAGTGGAAATTTTGTTATATGTATAAAACTTTTGAACTCATATATACGTTATAGCTGTTTAATCGAAAGATGAACAAGCACCTCTAAACATTCTCAATTCTCGTCTTCACAGAGATATATTATATCCTCAGTCAATAGCTAATATGATGAGCACGTAACTAGTTAAGTTCTATACCTTATCTTTCGTAGAGTTGAAAACACATCTCTAACTAGAAGTGGGGGTGGAGGAACTAGTAGCTTTTGCGTTTGTCGGCACAGCTGAGCAACGTCACCTAAAAAAATTTTGATAATAAAACCCGTTTTTGCAGGGTGCACAGAGGAACAACATAACCATAAGTTAACTGTGAGAGCATTAGATTTTTCTTTACCAAGATCTCCCAATCTATTATACATCTCCCTCATAGTAGACCGACTTATTCCGCATGCTTCTTCCAATGCAGCAGAGATCAGACTTCCACCAATGTTGAGCTCCTTCCCAATCGAAACATGATCATGAGACTCTTGTTAAGGTCATGTGTACGAGTCTAGTTAAGGTTATGTAAATAGTAAGAGAAGAAAGAAAATGTTAAGAGACTTAGACCAACAATATTCTCATGGTCAGGGGCAATCTTATTTGTGCAAAGATAAACAGCGGGCAGCACATCTTCTGGAGAGAGAGCCAACATGCTGATGGGATGAGATTTTACAGAAATATAAGTGCTAATCATCATTGCTTCAGCTTAACCAACAGAGTAAACGAAAAAGAGAGCAGGAACCTTCTAAACATGTTGCAAAGCATAGACATAGCTTTGATCTTGCCCTTTTCACCTTCCACGGAAGCAAATGTCCGGACAAGGTGAATATATGGAGCAGGCTGTCCATCCCTCCAACAAGCTGCACTAAAGCAAAACACATATAACTGTGGACGGACAGAAAAATTGCAGCAGGTTGACTAAAAATCCTACTACACTGCAGAAAATTTGGTTGAAAACACACTCTCTCAAGATAAAGGAAAAAAATAACATGTATGATACAAAAACACCAACCGTGTTCTTTAGGCTTATATTTTTCAGGAGGTAGAGATACATAATCTTTGTCTACAATTTCTTTCGCTGATGTCTGTTCACATAAATTCAACGCATGTCCTGACTTTTCTGACGTCGTTTTGTTCTCCATGGAGGAGCACGCTTCTGACGATTGCGGAAAGTTATTTGATTTGCTAAAGCCCTCACCTGCATGTTCACCAGGTATTTCACTGGACTTACTGTAATAGATGTCCAGTGCCCTATTTATATCTCCTTTAGCCTCATCAATGATGGAAGCAACATAATCTCTTAAAGACTCAGAACCATGAACAATGTCAATAAACTGATTTGTTACTTCTTTGTATGCTTCTTTAGCATCATTGGGGACCATCTTTTCATCTGTATTGTATTCTTCAGTCTCTGAACCAACACTAACAGAAGTAGATCCACTATCCAATACCTTATCAAAGAACTTAGTTATGGTTGACTGCACTGGACCAACTGGTTTCGACTTTGGATCTTTCTTGGCCTTCTTGTTTGACTTATTGCTAGTGCTTTTGGTCCTTTTCCCGGGAGAAACAATACCCTTTGTTAAACCAACTTTGCTTGGTAAGGCAAAATCTTTTTGACTTGCTTGACAATCTGACGAAGTGCTCTTAGCAGGAATTGGCTGCAAGTCGGTTCCATCGTCATCAACCAGAACAGCTTGATTCTCCAAGGAAGACGTAGCAATAGAGGATTGCTTGTAAAATTCTGCTTCGCATTCATAGAAGTTACTTACTATATCTACAGGGTTACCAGCATGTTTGTTAATGAAATCTAACATCTGCTCTTCGTTGACCCAAGCAGGCAAAGAATCACGTAGTTCTGTCAGTAATCTTTCAGTCACCAAAGAATCACCTCTTGGAGCGTTACTTCCACTGTCTTCTCCAACATCTATGTTATCCTTCTCACTCTTCTTGTCAGACTGGCGATAGAACCCCAATAAAAACTCTTTCTTGTTAGCCATTTCATCAACAAGTCCCGAAAAATGCTTCTGCATTTTATAAACCTCCCTGCTATCCATCTTCTCAACATCAACACCAACAGTAGGAATAACTCTTTTAGGCTTCAACAACTTAATATACTCCCTAAGCTCATCATAATTCGAATGCTCACTATACGGAACAAGATGAATCTCCATAGAATCTTTAACCTTCACAGCAAACTTATTCCTCTTCACTTCATAAGTCCACCCTGTAGGCACAAAACCTACAACCTTATCATACCCTCTCTCAACCATAATCTCATTCATCTTCACGAAATTGGGGCGAAAATACGGCCATGTCTCACCCAACACATTCCATCCCACAACATGAACATCACTCTCTTTCTCATCCTCAGTAAACATCCCACTCTCTCCACACCCCAAGACATTCAAAATCGACATCTTCCTCGCGTCCACAAAGATCTTCCTCTTACATCTCTTAGAAATCTCAATTAAAATCTTCTCTTTACCAATGACATAAGTAGCAACAAGAAACAAAACCTTTCTCTCCGTTTCGTCCTTAGATTCTTTATCAATCTTATCTATCACACTTATCACATAATCAACAGACTCTTGTTGCGTTGGGAATATAAACTTAGGGTTGCAATAAGTAGTGTCAAGAAAAACACCGTCGCAGCCAATGAAACCATTTAGAAACGGATCTGATCTCATCGAATCGCAGAATCTGAAATCTCCCGTGTGAATATACTTTTCGGAACCATCGTTGGTTTTGAAGAGGAACTGTACAGCTCCAGGGCAGTGATTCGCGTCGATGAGAACAACTTCCGAGCCATCGATGATAACCTTTTGGTTCATAGGTAGAGGGAAGACGAACTGTGGCGAGACTTGGAGGATTTGTGTGACGAGGCGTGCGGTTATGTGGGAGGAGAAGATGATTCCTCGGGACCAGGAAGAGGAGAGGCCGGAGTAGTGATCGGAGTGGAAGTGTGAGAGGAAGAAAGCGACGGAGGAGGGATCGGAGGAGGAGCGGAAGGAGTCGACGATGAAGTTTGTTTTGGGAATGAGTTTTGATTGAGGGATTGAGAGAGGAGAGAACGGTGGTTTCGGGGAGGGGGTAGGGACGGAGGAGGGAAGTGCTGATGAGTAGAGTTCTGCAGAATTGAGGTTTAGGGTTTCTAAGTTGCCGTCGTTTGGGAAGTCGCCGGCGGAGTCGGACGCCATGAAGGAAGATGAAGTGGCGCCAAATTGCGATGGTTTAGGGGTTTTTTTACGGTTCTCGTGGCCTGATTTCGAAAATGATACAAGCACTGTAACCGGACTGTTATTACTGTAACGGTGAAAAGAAATGGAGTTGAAATCTAGGGATGGGAATAACACAATCGAACCAAACCGTACTGAATTAAACCGTAAAGAGACTAAGGTGATGATTGGCTTTTAGTTTCTAGTTTTTAGATTTTAGTTTTTCATTTTTGATTTTTCTTTTTGCAGTAGATTTTAGATTTTAGTTTTTTATTTTTTTTTTTTTTATTTGAATTGTTTTAGATTTTTTTGTTACTAAAATAGTATGAATAATTTCTTTATTTTTAAATATATTTACTATTTTTACAAACTTGACTTATGGTTTATTTTATCACTAAAAGAAATAACTTTATATTAAAACTTTATTAATATATATATATATATATATTAAAAATAGCTATATTTTAAGATACATTTAATTTTATATTTCCACGAAAATACACAATTGTTGTTATTTTTTTAGCTAAATAAAATTTAGTTTTATTTTTAAGATATGGTAAAACTAAAATTTATTTCCAAATAATTATTCAATAACTGGATTTTGAAGTGCATTTAATTCTAGATAATTAATAGTTATATTTTATTAAAAAATCAAAAAAATTAAAAAAATTAATAGGTGGTAAATTATATAAAATATATGGAATTCAAATACTTAACGTAAATAAAAACCAGTTAAATTATTTTAATAGTCTTAGTACAGTAAATATTTATTATGATTAGCATAGATGTATCACATTTTGTAACAAATACTAATAGATTAGTAACAAAACATGTAACATAACATTTTATTGACAAGTTAAAAAATGTTATTATATATGTTAAGCAAGTGCTTGTTACGTAACCTTATTTTTACAGTAGTTATCATTTTTATTTGATTTTACATGCATAAATATAGAAAGAAATAGTTTAATTTAAAAGAAAAAAATGAAAAACCAACAGAAATTTAGACAAAAACCAAAAAAATTGGATTTTGGTTAACCTTTAGAAAAATACAGTTATTTGAAAAACCAGTTTCCCCTATCTTTTAAGGAATCTATTTCTCTAAAAAAAATTAAAGGTTGATTGTTGGTCGTTTTTGTTTTTCTAAAAACCATTTTTCTTCCGATCAAGTTTTTTAAGAAATAGATTTCCTAAAATTTAGGAAAACTAGTTTTTCAAAATTTTAACAAATTTGTGAAGAAAGACCAAAAACCAACTTTTGTGGGTTTTTGAAATAAAAACGAATTTTAGTTTTTTTTTTTGTAGAAGATCTGTATTTTAATTAAACAAATAATATTTCCATAAAGATAAGGTACACATACAAATTTTTTTAGATAATATATCATGTAAAAATTAACGTAAAATAATTTATTTGTGTTTCATATCTGTAAATAAATTGGATATTTTTATATAATTTTAATTAATGGTAAGCAATTAGTTATTAATTGCTATAAAATTCATTGAATAATTGTAAAAATTATTATATACACTAAACAATAACTAAAAATTATAAAACTTAAATATTTTATTGATACAATATATTATATTAATTTTAAAATAGCCACTCAAGTTATAAAAATAAAAACAATTATATAAGAAACTTTATAAATAGTTTCAATTTTTTTTAATTTTAATTATTTTATTATTTATATTTTTGTAGAATACTTACCAATAAAATAATTTAAAAACATGTTAATATATTTTATTTTAAATAACAATCATTCTATTTTTGATAAAATTTAATGGTAATTTAAATAATTTGTTTCTTTATTATTTTAAAATAATGGATTGATTATAAACAAAAACTTGAAACTAAAAACTAAAAACCAAAATATAAAATCAAATCCAAAAACTAAAAACTGAAACTAAAAACTAATGCAAACAATCATCACCTTACTGTCTAAAATTAGTTTTTTTCAAAAACAAAACGAAAAACTACTTCAAAATTTGTAAACAATCAACCTCTAAAAGTAGAATCAATTATATTATAAACTTACTTCACTTTAAATCATGGGCTCATTCTATTATAATATATGACTCATATTTACACACACACACACACACATATATATATATATAACAATTTTAACATAATTCAAGTCATTCAATAGTTTAATCTTCTAAATACATATATTTGGTTTAATAAAATAATAATTATACAAGACTCCTGGTAGATTCAGTTATGGAGACAAAACATGTTTTGATCTTTTTTTTTTTTTTTTGTAACTGGCTTTCATTTAAAATACTAGAACAAAATAAAAATTACAAACCCATTAGGCTAGTATTTAAGAGCCATGGCCCAATTGAAGGAAAAGATAAGAACCATATGCTAAATCTCATAGTAAACTATTAGTTGCCAGCCCAAAGAGAGCCCAAGTAGGTGTAGTAGTGGTGGTTAGCGGTTGGGAAGAGGGGATGAGTTAATTCAACGGAGGAAACGAGGAAGCGAGATCAGAGAATCATCGCAGTGTCTATGGCAGATCCAGCCATCGTTGCATCATCTTGGAAGATAGTTTAGGGCTTGTATCACGAAAACTCTGGATCTTATTCCTAATCTGACGATCAAGAAGGGGAAAAACCACATCCACCGATCGGAAGCTGCCTTTGTGAAGACGCACATTCCGTTCATTCCACAGCCAATAGATCGCCGCCTCCCAGGCCATTAAAGTAAGTAGCCTTGCCGATTTCTCCGACCGATACGTTTCAAGTTGAGTGATGGTTTGGTCCCATGATCGATTTGCAGAGATTCGACATCTACTTGTTATTAGGCGCCAAAGATCAAAGCTGTAGTCACAGTGAAAATAGAGATGATCCCTAGATTCCGCAGCTGAGTTACAAAGAAGACAAGCATGATCTACCTGAATCCCCCAACTCAGCATCCTGTCCCTTGTTGGAGAGCGATTTAACATTGTGAGCCAAGTGTGGAATGCATGTCGAGGGATGGCGTGAGGAAACCATACCAGAGCTGTCCAGCTTAGATTAGGAAGATCCCCCCTTAAGTAAGTGTATATATCACCAGTTCTGAACACTGTCGAGATTTTCCCTTGAATCTCCCATTCATAAAAGTCTTCTCTTTCAGTAAGCGCAATGGTGGTAATAAAAGTGTATAGCTCTAACATCTCATCGGATCTTGCAGGAGGAAGATTCCATCTACCATTTCTATAGAGTGAAGCCAGTGTCGAATTTCTTGGGATGCCTAATCAAGAGTTTGAGGCAGCTTGTAGTGCAAGAACACATCCCTCCGGTGCCCAGTTATGTGACCAGAACCGAGCTCGACGACCATTCTCCAACCTAAGTTTAATCAAGGGATAAACCATCGGACGAGCTTTTATTAGTTTGTTCACTAGCCATGAAAAGGTTTGGCTAGGCTTCACTGTCCAGTAGTTGTCAAGAGAGCCTTTGAGGATGACTTCCTTGAACCAAGCCGCCCAAACAAAATCTTCTCTGAAAAACACCAACCAAACGAGCCTTAAGCAGCATGCCTTATTCCAGGTTAGTAAGTCTTTTATTCCAAGTCCTCCTTGATCTTTAGTAAGAGTAACTTTGTCCCATGCTACTTTAGCTGAGTGGTGTCCCTCTAAATTCCCTTTCCATAGGAAAAAACTACACATTGAGTTTATCTTGTTTATACATGCCTTAGGGAGGATGAAGGTAGAGCACCAAAAGGTTGAGATACCGGAGACGACGGTCTTTATAAGGAGTAACCGGCCAGAGTAGGACAAAGTTTTTACAGACCACGACGAGAACTTCATTTTGATTTGTTGAAGAAGAGGCTGGCAGTTAACAAGCGATGGCTTCCTGGAGTCAAGAGGAACTCCAAGGTAACGGAACGGGAGAGAGCCATGCTGCATTCCAGTGGAAGCCTGAATGGTAGCCACTTCTTCATCTGTCATCCCCGAGGAGAAAAAACTTGTTTTTTGGAAACTTACAGCCAGACCAGATCGAAGCTCAAACTCTTTCAGCACCTGAAGCACCTGTTGCACAGAGCTCAAGGAGCCATCAGTGAAAATAAGGAGATCGTCAGCGAACGACAAATGGGTAAGTTTCATATCCTTGCAGTTGGGATGGTAATCGATTTTGGTTTCCTGTGCCGCTTTGTTGAGCATCAGGGATAGGAAGTTCATGGAAATAACGAAAAGATAGGGAGATAGTGGGTCTCCTTGTCTAAGTCCTCTCTTTCCTTTGAAATATCCATTTACCGTTCCGTTATATCCAATCATGAAACTTGGCGTGCAGATACAAGCTTTAAGCCAAGACAAGAAGAGAGGAGGAATCTGAAGACTATGCAAGCAAGTGAGAAGGAAATCCCAAGACATGGTATCAAAAGCCTTCGCAATGTCAACTTTGATGGTAATTCTCCCACTCCCTTTGTTTTTATGATATCCATTGATCAATTGCCCAGCTAACGTAGTATTTTCTATCAGGAGCCTCCCTTTCACAAACGCCGTCTGACAAGGAAGGATGAGTGTCGGTAGAATTGGCTTCAGTCGCTTCACCAAGAGACGGGACACAACCTTATAGATGGTGTTAAGGCAGGAGATAGGTCTGTAGTCCGTAACTTTGCTCGCACCGTGGAATTTAGGAACAAGTGACAGAATTGTAGCATTCGTGGTGGATGGCATGAAAGAGGTGGTGAAGAAGGCTTGAATAGAATTTGTCACTTCAGAGCCAATGATCTCCCAAGACGCTTTGAAGAAACCAGAGGTAAGGCCATCAGGCCCCGGAGCCTTGTTTGGGTTTAGCTTGAAAAAGATAGCCTTTATCTCTGATTCTGATGGTAAGGTTTCCATTAGTATCGATTGCTGAGTCGTAACCCTAAACGTTGTTAACTGCTCGAACCACATTGTTTGAGAATGCAGTGCCGGATGACAATTCCCTTGAGGACCCAGAACTGATTGGAAGTGTTGGATTGCATGTTGACTCATCGCAAGGGGATCAGTGAT